GATCTGATATCTCGCCACTGGTGGTGGAATTCTANTTGGAAACAAAAACAACAAAAATATTTTTTTTAAAGGAAAAAATAAAAATTTGCGGGGAAAAAATGAGAAAAAAAAATAATGCAAGCGCGCCCCATGGCTAACAGCGTTCCAATTAGGGACAGTTCGACTCCGACACAGTTCGAATTTCGCACAGTTCGATTCTGCTCTTGTTCTGTTTTGACACATGTTCGATTTTAGGTCTGTTCGATTTTGGAAGCGTTCGAATTCGTCGTACCCCCGTTTTGTGTATTTCTAATTATGCAAATTGCAACTACAAAAAATCACAAAAAAATCACTGAAAAATCACTGATAAATTCGCACATTTTTAATTTAATTTTCACAAAAAAATGTCCATGTTTCTTAATTTTCACCAATATCACTTTTTTTTCATAAAATTTAGGAAATTTTGGGCAATTTCTTCAATTTTTGAGCTTCAAAAAATTCTGTAAAAATCGAATTTTTAGGGAATTTCAGCTATTTTTTAAAAATCGAAAATGAGCTTTTTTCGATTTTTTTGGCTGAAATTTCATTTTTTTTTGCTGAAATTTTTTCTCTGGAGTTGGATTACAAAAGTAGCCAAAAAGCCGATTTTTGAAAAAAAAAATTTAATTCGAAAAAAAAACACAAATAGATTACTGTAGATTAGACACCGCCCTCTGCTCATTTTCACCAAAAAAAGGGGCGGAGCAAAAAAGGGGCGGAGCCATTAGTGCGGGAAAGCTTGAAAACTTGAGAGTGGGCGAAGCCGAAAAGGGGCGGAGTCGCTTTTAACAGTATCCATAGCACGATTTTTTGAATTGACAAAATCGGAAATTTTGTATATATAATATTGAAATTTTGAACCTTAGAAAATTTGAAAAATTCCCAAAAATGGAGAAAACATTAGATTCGAAACGCCGGAGGTGGAAATCGCCAATGTATCGACTACAATTCGGGCGGCAAAAAGTCATTCGGAATGTACCAGTGTCATGGACAGGGCGGAAATCAGGTTTGACTAGAAAAGAATGGTCTGGCGCGAAATTTGAAATTTTTGAAAAAAAAATTTTTATGGAAAAATTCAATTTTTCGCAATAAATTGGTATTGAAAAGTGACGGAATTTGAAATTCTGAATTTTTCGGAACTTTCATAAAAATTATTGCTCATCTTCTTCTCCTTCTTCTCCTCGTTCCCAGGTAAGTTTTACTGCTAATCCTAATCTCCAGATTTCAGAAGGCGTGCGCGCGATTTCAGATTCTTTTTTCTGAAAATTTCAGCCAAAAAATCTAATATTTGCAGTACTGGATGCTCTCCAAAGATGGGGAAATCCGGCGAGACGAATCGTGTGTGGACTATGCTGGCAGCGATGTAATGGTGTTCCCGTGTCATGGAATGAAGGGAAATCAGGAGTGGAGATATAATCATGATGTGAGCAGCCAGATTTTAAGCGAAAAATCCCAAATTTTGAGCCAAAATGAGCTGAAAATTTGAAATTTTTATAGAAATTTCGATTTTTGAAAATTTAAAAACTATCGTTTTCAAGTCGAAATAGCAAGTTTTTGAGCTGAAAATTCCATATTTTCATGGCTAAATTCGCTTTTTTTAATCCTAAAAATAAGCGATTTTCAGCGAAAAAAAATGAACGTTTCATGACTGAAAATAGCTTTTTCTGGGACCTAAAAATCAGGGTTTTTTTTAACCTGAATTGTTGATTTTAAGCCTTAAAATGCTCAATTTCAAACTTGAAAATCTCTATTTTCAGAAAGAAAAATCGCGAATTTCCGTCAAAAAATTCCAGATTTTCAGATCGTAAAACTTGGATTTTCAGCCTTAAAATGCTTATTTTGGACCGGAAAATCACTATTTTTAGCCTAAAAACTACCAAATTTAAGAACGGAAAATGTCGATTTTCGACCTCATTATTTGTGATTTTTCGAGTATGAAATATCGCGAATTTCACATAAAAATTCCTAGTTTTAGATGTAAAAATTACAATTTTTGAGCATAAAAACTCTGATTTTCAGCCTAAAAATGCTCAATTTTGGAGTTTTTAAAGCTGAAAAAAAAAACGAATTTCCGTTGAAAAATGACGGTTTTGGAACCTGAAAATCACGATTTTTAGCCTAAAAATGCTCAATTTGGAACCAAAAAATCCAAATTCTCAAACCAGAAATGATGCAATTCGGTCTCGAAAGACTCAATTTTAGGCCAAAGAATTTGACTTTCGAAGCTAAAAATGTCAATTTTGCTCCTAAAAATCAATAAATTTCAAGCCAGAAAATGGTGAAATTATAGCCGAAATCAATGAATTTCACTTCAAAATCTCGAATTTTTCAACTAAAAATCACTATTTTTTTTTTCATAATGATTAAAAATCGACGCGATTCCTAAGCCGAAAATGACTAATTTTTGCTAAAAACTCGCAATTGTTCGACCCAAAAAATCGCTATTTTCAGCCTAGAAATGACCATTTTTAGACCCAAAAATCTACGAATTTCGAGAACTGCATATTTCAGATTTAAAAATTATGAATTTTTGAAACTAAAAAACCAAAAAAAAATTGAATGCCTTAAAATGCCAATTTTGACCATTTTTAGACTCAAAAATCACGATTTTAAGCTAATTTTAAGCCTAAAAATGCCGAATTTCAGACTGGCCGCCTCCAACACGCCGTCTCTCAAAAATGTCTGGGAATGACACGAGACGGTGCGAAGCTGGAAATGGTCCAGTGCCAATACGACGACCCGTATCAACACTGGAAATTCAAGGAATTCAACGAAGCGAAGGCCATCGAGCACGGCGTCAAATCACCTAGTTAAAAAATCGATTATCGATTTTTAAAAAAATTTTTACCTCCTCCTCCAATTTGCTCCCTCCCTTCCTCTCTAGTATTGTGTTGTTCAGAATATGGGTACTTAAAAATTATTTTTTAATTTTATTAATTTATTATTTCAGATTTCTATAATTTATTGATTTTTGCCTCCCCCCTCTTCCCTGTTGTTTCAGTTTTTTTTTGTAAAAAATGGCTTTAAAATTTTTCTTTTCTGTAATTTTTTCTCTCGAAAACAATGACCGATTTATTGTGATACTTGACAAAACACACACACTTCATTTAATGCATTTCTCTTTTTGGGTATAATTTTTCTCTTTTTCCCGTCCCTTGTTTCCTTGTGATATTATGATTTTTATGAATGATTTCTGGTTTTACACATTCTAATCAGTTTTCAACTGAAATATGAGGTTTTTAGAGGTTAAAACCTCGAAAAATGAGCTCGGCTACCTTGAAAACGAAAGGAAAATCGTTTAAAAATCGATTCTTGGCGCATTTTCGAAAAATTGCTCTGGTGGCTCAGTGGGATTTTCGCTGCGATCTAGAGGTCGCGGGTTCGAACCCCGGTGGGGTGAAAATGAATTTTTAATTTTTTTTCAGTGTAATTTATAATAGTTTCGAACCATTTTCAGACATTTTCAGAGGTTTTCTGAAAATTTGAAATTTTTTGAAAATTCACAAAACTGTAAATTTTGAAAAAATCGATTTGAATCAGAATTTTTCTTGAAATTTCAACTGAAAATTGGGCAGATCAAAAAAAATTGTAGATCAAAAAATCAAATTTTCAGCGCGCGAAAAAAATTTCAAAAAAAAACTTGTTGATTCCCGGATTTTTCTGTTCAATTGAAAATTATAATTTTCTTTGTTTTTTCTCCATTTTTTCCCGAATTTTCAGGATTTTTTCCGCTTTTTTCGAAAATTTGAGCCAAAAATCGATAATTTAAGTGCAAAAATTATTCGATTTTCATACCCGTTTTAGCTGAAAAATGCGAATTTTCGAATAAAAAAAACGATTTTCGTGTCAAAAGCCACTAATTTTCGATTGTAAATTTTCAGATTTCGTTTCTGAAAATTCAAAAAATTACAAATTTGAGCCGAAATTATCGATTTTCGCTTTTTTCCTAGAATTTTCCTAGAATTCTCTATTTTTCCCCTAAATTTTCACTAATTTGACCCGAAAATTATCGATTTTCACCATTTTTTTGTTGTCCGTTTCAGAGAATCGAAGAATGCCGCGCGGGTGCGAGATCAAGCTGAAATTCGAGAATTCCGAGGAGATTTTCGTCTTAAAAGATATGCAAGTGATCAAACGGATGCCACTGCTGGTGAGAGCCGTTAAAAAGGAGGTGCGATCTGAAAATAGCGAATTTCGAATCTAAAATTGCCTATTTTGGACCACAAAAAATGCCGAAAAATGAATCTTTAAATGGCTATTTTCAGCCTAAAAACAGCGAATTTCGATATTTTTAGGTGCAAAATTGCCTTTTTAAGGCGGCTTAACAATATGTAATTTTCGACGTAAAAGTGGAAATTTTCATCGATTTTTGAGTTTCTCTGCCACATTTTCCGGCAGTTTTGAACCAAAAAATGTGAATTTTCGGCACGAAAATTATTGATTTTAGACATTTTTTAAAAAATGAATTTTGACCCGAAAATGTGGCAATTTCAGCCTTAAAAATGACAATTTCCGGCTTCAACAAATCGATTTTTGAAGAGGGAAATGAGATTTTCAGCTCGAAAGTTGGTAATTTTGAGCAAAAAATAGCAAATTTCATCTATATTTTTTGACGATTTTTGAGCCCGAAAATCAATAATTTTTGGCTTAAAAATAAGAGTTTTTTCTCTCAAAAATGACAAATAAAATTAAGCCCAAATTTTTGAATTTTTGGGCACAAAATCTGAATTTTTAAAATGACAATTTCCAACTTTGAAAAATCGATTTTTCTAGCTGAAAATATCGATTTTCAGCTAGAAAAAAAGAAAAAAAAAGTTGTGCCCAAAAATTCAAAAATTTGGGCTTAAATTTTTTGTCATTTTTGAGAGAGAAAAAACTCATATTTTTAAGCCAAAAATTATCGATTTTCGGGCTCAAAAATGGTCAAAAAAATTTAGTAAAAAAAATTCACTCAAATTTTTTTTCGAGTTTTAAAAAATTTCAAATTTTCAGAAAAACCCTAAAAATGCTTTAAAATGGTTCAAAACCAACGAAAAAGATCCTCAAAAAAACAGGAAAAACAATTTTTCCCTAGCGAGGTTCGAACCCTCGACCTCTTGATCCAAACGAAAATCCCACTGAGCCACGCGGCCAATTTTTCGAAAAGTGACAAATTCGATTTTTAAAGTATTTTTTTCTGGAGGTTTTTAAGGTAGCTGGGTTCATTTTTCGGGTTCCTAACCTCTGAATATCGCAATTTCTAAAAAAAAAATGACTAAACATGTTTTTCGAATTTTCCAAAAAATTCAAATTTTAGAAAAGTCCAAAAAAAGTCTGAAAATAGTCCAAACCATCATAAAAAATGCCTCAAAAACATTAAAAAACCGATTTTACCCCAACGGGGTTCGAACCCGCGACCTCTAGTTCGTAACGAAAATCCCACTCAGCCACATTGGCAAATTTTTCAAAAAATCGTAAAAATCGATTTTTTGAACACTTTTCCCGGGGATTTTCAAGGTAGCTGATCTCATTTTTCGGGGTTTTAAGTTCTAGTGAAAAAAATCTAGTGAAAAAATGCCCGAAAAGCCTAAAATATGAACTTTAAGCTTAAAGTTCGTTGTTTAGGCTTTTTAGACATATTTTTTGGCTCAATTTAAGCTCAAAAATGGCAATTTGAACCTAAAAATCAATATTTTTCGCAGAACTCCAAATGGCTGCATACGCGAACAACTCTCCCGGACCCCATCCTCATTCCATATCCCAAAGAATCGGTGCTCTTCATCATTGAACACATCAAAACGTATCGAATGCCAAACGATTATCCGGAGAAGGTGCCCGAGAACTATCCGGAAGCCAACGCGTTGGATTTGTACGATTTACGGCCGATTCTGGAGGCGGCGACGCACTTGGAGGCGCTCTGTTTGATGAATGTCGCCGGATTTTTGATAGCGAAGAAGCTGGAGGAGCTGCCGGTGGAGCAGGTCGCCGAGTTCATGGGATTGGAGTACGTGCCCGTGGCCAACTTTTATGACGAGCAGAATGGATGGATTCGACCATCGACCAGTGGAAGCAGCACCGCTTGATTGATTTATTGATTTTTTGGATTTTTTTTGTTTTCGTATCACCTCCTAATCTTTCTTCCCCTCTATTATTTCGACTATTTGAGAACATATTTTTAACTTTAAGACCTATTTAAAAAACAATCTTTTTTGATCTACTAAATCGATCTCTCTCATCCACTTCTGTTCTTTGATCTGTCTTTCTCTTCTCTTTTTTTTGTATTATCAATTTTTGTTTCTGTTTGATTCTCAATAAATTGAGATTCATGTATTAATCCAGCACTTTTTCCGTTAAAAACCCATTATTTCGGCGGGAAATTACAATTTTCAGAGGTTAAGAACCCGAAAAATGAGTTTAGCTACCTTGAAAATCCCTCTAAAAGTGTTTTTAAATCGATTTTGGCACATTTTCGAAAAATTGCCCGTGTGGCTCAGTGGGTTTTTCGCTACGATCTAGAGGTCGCGGGTTCGATCCCCACTGGGGTAAAAAGTTTACATGTTGAGTCATGAGGATCTTATCAGTTGGTATTGACCCATTTTCAGATGTTTTTGGGTTTTTTCCTGAAAACGTGGATTTCCCCCAAAATTCGAACCTTAAATTTTAAGCCTTCTTTTGTTGAAATTGCGATTTTCAAAGATTAAATCCAATATAAGCGAGCTCAGCTACCTTGAGAATCCCGACCTAGTGATTTAAAAATTGTTTTGCCTGTTTTTCTAAGAATTGCCTCCGTGGCTCAGTGGCCTTTTTGCATCATTTTAAAGGTTTTTGGTTCGAATCCCCGCTGGGGTATAATCGTTTTTTCTTACTTTTTAAGCACTTTTAAATGGTTTCGAACCATTTTAGCATGTTCTTGGGGTTTTTTTTGAAAATTTGAAAATTTTTAAATTCGAAAAAAAATATTTTTTTGAAAAAAAGTCCGAAAAAAATTAGACAAAAGTTCAGACATCAAACCTAAAAACCTGAAAAAGTGATCTACCTTTTTTTGATCTACCAAACAAAATTCCAAAAATTCGAAAAAAAAATTGGCGGGAAATTTTAGAATTTTCTCTTTTTTCCTCGTTGTTCTGTCCGTTTTCAGTCCGTTTTCAACCCAATTTTTCTCCAATTTCTATTAAATTTTCCGTTTTTCCAGAAACTACAGTAATCCTGCTCCAAAAAAAGGAGGAAAAAATGGCGAAGTGTGAGATCACACTGAAATTTCAAGACGACTCGATTGTTGTGAGAGATGCGAGAATTATCAAAAAAATGGAGTTGGTGAATCGAGCGATCACTTCGGAGGTAAGGAAAATAATCTAGAAGTTTCCAGAAGGTTCTGGAGAAACTTAGGCTATTTTTATGCCGAAAAATGAGGGATTTTGGACCGAAAATTCAAGTTTATTAGGCAAAAAATCGATATTTTCAGGTATAAATCTTCAGATTTTGAGCTCGAAAATTGAGAATTTCGATCTTAAAAATATGGAATTTTCGATATTTTTTCCAGAATTCGAAATTTGAATTTCATTAATTTGGCCTGAAAAATCTGAAAGTTTCGATATCTAAAAATATAAAAAAAATGAACTAATATTTCAATTTTTCCAGTCCAAAAAGGGCAGTTTTTAGCATACTTGTGAAGGGCCGGGC